TTGCCATTTGGAAAAGAGGTAGGCTTCCACTTCACAATCAGCTGGGATGAAGAATTGGAGGCAGAGATGACATCCAGTGGAATGGAGGGAACTAAAATGGAAAAAAAAAAAAATAGCAGACAAATTAACAACCTGCACACTGTAAATGAACATAAACCCAATGACATGTCTTATATTATATTTCAACTCTTTATTTCAAAGAATGAGATTTTCAACTGATGGCTAACTGATGACAGTGCAGCTGGAACTGTGGGGGATATTTTTATATAAAGGATATACAGGTGAAACTCGAATAATTAGAATATCGTGCAAAGTTCATTTATTTCACTAATGCAACTTAAAAGGTGAAACTAATATATGAGATAGACTCATTACATGCAAAGCAAGATAGTTCAAGCCGTGATTTGTCATAATTGTGATGATTATGGCTTACAGCTCATGAAAACCCCAAGAACCCCAAATCCACAACCTCAAAAAAGTAGATTATTACATGCAATCAATAAAACAAGGATTGTACATAGAACAAAATCGGACCTCTGAAAAGTACAAGCATGCATATGTACTCAGTACTTGGTTTGGGCCCCTTTTGCAGCACTTACTGCAACTACTTTTGCACGATATTCTAATTATTCGAGTTTCACCTGTAGAGAACATCTTGTTGCACTCCTTACCGGATATCCCAACAATAAGGGAGGGTGCTAGGAATGACTGCGGATTGGCACCGCTAATCACAGGAACTGTTGAGAAGAATGTCACCAGCACACCGAAAATCCGTGCATGGACGTCAATGTTAAGTCTGATGAAGGGACCCTGCGCGGTCCCGAAAGTGCTTGTTTGATAACTGTTCAATAAATGAACTTTTGGTGATCCTAAAAGGATTTTCGGTGTGCTGGCCATACACCCGTGAAATTTTGTTCATTTTCAGAACGTTCATTCAATTCGCTAATGGTTAGTGGGGTCTAATCAACTTCTGCTTTCAGCTGTAGTGACAAATGTTTTTTCCATTTCTTTTTTTTTAATCACATGATATCATCCATTTCTTATCTGAATTAATGACTGTGAATGTGATTTTTGTTCAGGAACAATCGCACATATTATAATGTGCATGTGTAAGGCACAAAAGAAACCTGTTTAATACATCTGAATGTCCACTCATGTAGCAGCTTTGGAATAAATTTTAAAGGGCTTTCAAATGAAATTAGTTGACTAAATGGCAGCAAGGTGGAATAAAACAGTGTATGGCCAGAATACAACAAACCATGCCCGGAGGGATTTATTTAACCCCACTATTTGTAAGATGTTCGCGGTGAGTACAGAAGGGTGATGGTTGTAGTATGTAACTGTGGTACGTGGGCTACAATCTTCATTTTCTGGGTGACAAATGTGTCATGAATGTAAACAGATTTCCCATTTAGGAATAGCTAATCCAGATGTGTGGTGAACAGAAGCAAAGCCGATTTTTTTTTTTTAAGTTATGTGGCCTGTGAATGGGCTTTATATAGCTCAAATGCTAATAGGTTCATTTTATATATAGATATGTGAAATGATGTTGCAGTTAATTAGTAGTAAATGGGCTGCAAACTGATCATCCAACACATTTTAAATCTTTTCCGATTTAACAATTTTCATTTTAAATGAAACAAAGGTTAGCGCTCCCATTCAGTTAAAGATAACAAAGGAGAAAACTGATGTACAGCAGAATTATCTTGCTGCACTGACAAATGACAGGTTTTATATTTTCCACCTGCTGCACAAGTGACAAAGCACAAAAAAATAGAGAGACTGTCAAGGAGGGTTTATATTAGCACAGCTGTGGTCCTGACTACCTCATATATACAGAAGTGTACCTTGCCACTCATTAATTGCCCATACAGGAACTTGGCACAGTCTCCTGCAGTTGTTGACCCACATAGCAAAATGCATTAGTACAAAGTTGAGTCTATTTCTTTCTTTTTTTTTTCCAGCTTTATATGTTGCTACATTTCAGCAGAACTAAAAAAAACTAGACAACCTCTATGTATTACATTTTTTTCTCTTTAGAAAACTTTTGTCTAGATTGCTTTTTCTCTAGGGCCTAAGAGCAGGTCAGCAGCCACAGAATACTATGAATTCTTGTGAATACCTGCAGGATCTGTGCGGATGTATATAATCTTGCTCTTTGCTCCATGAATGTGATGATTCTCCCCCATGGTCAGAGTGAGGGCTTTGACAAAGATTGCATAGGAAGTCCAGGGCTTCAAACCCTGAAGAAGGACCCCTGGGTTCTTATCCTTGCTCTGTGGTAGGTCTACATCCAGCATGTTCCAACTGTTTGACCCACATGCATCTTGACCATCATATTCAGTCACATCGGGAAGAGGACTAAATGACAAAAGAAAACAAGAAATTACTTGAAACGACAAGTTTGTAAATGGGTTAGGTGAGCTGGCATTATAGTAGTAACCATTACTATGATACTAAAACCAGGGCCGGATTTACTCTCTCTGCTGCCCCAATGCCAGGTTTCTCAATCCGCCCTCCTATATGCAGGCTGCATTGTTGTTGTTGTTGTTTAGGTGTATTGATCACCTAGCTCCTAAAAGGTGCCAGCTCAGTTCTAGAGTACAGAAAAGCTTCTGTATTTTAGATGAATTTGTCCACCCTGTTGTACGAGAACTACATATACGGAGTAGGACCACAATGACAACAGCCATTACTACATACTGTCAACTAACATGGGACAATACTAATGTTTCCATATGCATCAATCTGCTTTATGTGCAAAATGTAAACCTGTCATAATATGGGAACAACCATGGCTGACTTCTTTTATAAGATGCTAGTTTACCTGGTTGTCATGCTCAACGTATGGCTTCACTACTTAGTCACTGACCTTGTACAATCATGAGATCAATGAAGTCGGAAGTCTGGGTCACACAATAAGTAGGGAAGCCATAGGATAAGCATGCCTGCCAGGGAAGTAGTAACCTTTCAACAAAGAAATCATGAATTGCTAGCATATGGAGGAATTGAGGGTACATGATATGGCCTGTAGGTTTGTGCAGTCTAAAAAGGTTCATACAGACCTATTTCCTCAGTAACTATTCTTCATGTATGACAAAGTAATGTTGATCCCTTATGTATACTGTATACAGTGAACTCCCTATTATCTGGCACTCTCAAGCAACCAGTAAAAAAAAAAAATCAAGGGTATAATATGTCTTCGATTTTTTTGCTGTTGCTTGATATAAAAAATGGAAACTATAAAATTTTGTAGACTGCGCAGTTGCCAGTAGAAAGAAAACAATGGGTTTCAATAGCCAGCCTGCTATTGGCTATTTCAAACTGCAATACCCAATAGCAGGCTGGCTATTGTGCCCACCCACTGAACAGAAGAACGGACGTGAGAGAGCTTTCTCTCTCAGGTCCGCTCCTCTGCTCAGTGGGCGGGGCTTCAATAGCCAGCCTGCTATTGCCTATTTCAAATTGCAATAGCAGGCTGGCTATTGCTCCTGCCCACTGAGTAGAGGAGCGGACCTGAGAGAGAACTTTTATTGCAGGGTGGTTGTTTGAAAGTTACTATTAAAAGGAGAACTATGACATGAGTGATTTCCACTCACCTCATAGTTCTAAGCCGACCTGTGACAATGAGACTGTCACAGGTCGGCTCAGTAGATCGGGAGGTGAGCGAACACATGCCGGGTTCCCTCACCTCTCGATTCTCGAATAATTAGAATATCGTGCAAAGTTCATTTATTTCACTAATGCAACTTAAAAGGTGAAACTAATATATGAGATAGACTCATTACATGCAAAGCAAGATAGTTCAAGCCGTGATTTGTCATAATTGTGATGATTATGGCTTACAGCTCATGAAAACCCCAAGAACCCCAAATCCACAACCTCAAAAAAGTAGATTATTACATGCAATCAATAAAACAAGGATTGTACATAGAACAAAATCGGACCTCTGAAAAGTACAAGCATGCATATGTACTCAGTACTTGGTTTGGGCCCCTTTTGCAGCACTTACTGCAACTACTTTTGCACGATATTCTAATTATTCGAGTTTCACCTGTAGAGAACATCTTGTTGCACTCCTTACCGGATATCCCAACAATAAGGGAGGGTGCTAGGAATGACTGCGGATTGGCACCGCTAATCACAGGAACTGTTGAGAAGAATGTCACCAGCACACCGAAAATCCGTGCATGGACGTCAATGTTAAGTCTGATGAAGGGACCCTGCGCGGTCCCGAAAGTGCTTGTTTGATAACTGTTCAATAAATGAACTTTTGGTGATCCTAAAAGGATTTTCGGTGTGCTGGCCATACACCCGTGAAATTTTGTTCATTTTCAGAACGTTCATTCAATTCGCTAATGGTTAGTGGGGTCTAATCAACTTCTGCTTTCAGCTGTAGTGACAAATGTTTTTTCCATTTCTTTTTTTTTAATCACATGATATCATCCATTTCTTATCTGAATTAATGACTGTGAATGTGATTTTTGTTCAGGAACAATCGCACATATTATAATGTGCATGTGTAAGGCACAAAAGAAACCTGTTTAATACATCTGAATGTCCACTCATGTAGCAGCTTTGGAATAAATTTTAAAGGGCTTTCAAATGAAATTAGTTGACTAAATGGCAGCAAGGTGGAATAAAACAGTGTATGGCCAGAATACAACAAACCATGCCCGGAGGGATTTATTTAACCCCACTATTTGTAAGATGTTCGCGGTGAGTACAGAAGGGTGATGGTTGTAGTATGTAACTGTGGTACGTGGGCTACAATCTTCATTTTCTGGGTGACAAATGTGTCATGAATGTAAACAGATTTCCCATTTAGGAATAGCTAATCCAGATGTGTGGTGAACAGAAGCAAAGCCGATTTTTTTTTTTTAAGTTATGTGGCCTGTGAATGGGCTTTATATAGCTCAAATGCTAATAGGTTCATTTTATATATAGATATGTGAAATGATGTTGCAGTTAATTAGTAGTAAATGGGCTGCAAACTGATCATCCAACACATTTTAAATCTTTTCCGATTTAACAATTTTCATTTTAAATGAAACAAAGGTTAGCGCTCCCATTCAGTTAAAGATAACAAAGGAGAAAACTGATGTACAGCAGAATTATCTTGCTGCACTGACAAATGACAGGTTTTATATTTTCCACCTGCTGCACAAGTGACAAAGCACAAAAAAATAGAGAGACTGTCAAGGAGGGTTTATATTAGCACAGCTGTGGTCCTGACTACCTCATATATACAGAAGTGTACCTTGCCACTCATTAATTGCCCATACAGGAACTTGGCACAGTCTCCTGCAGTTGTTGACCCACATAGCAAAATGCATTAGTACAAAGTTGAGTCTATTTCTTTCTTTTTTTTTTCCAGCTTTATATGTTGCTACATTTCAGCAGAACTAAAAAAAACTAGACAACCTCTATGTATTACATTTTTTTCTCTTTAGAAAACTTTTGTCTAGATTGCTTTTTCTCTAGGGCCTAAGAGCAGGTCAGCAGCCACAGAATACTATGAATTCTTGTGAATACCTGCAGGATCTGTGCGGATGTATATAATCTTGCTCTTTGCTCCATGAATGTGATGATTCTCCCCCATGGTCAGAGTGAGGGCTTTGACAAAGATTGCATAGGAAGTCCAGGGCTTCAAACCCTGAAGAAGGACCCCTGGGTTCTTATCCTTGCTCTGTGGTAGGTCTACATCCAGCATGTTCCAACTGTTTGACCCACATGCATCTTGACCATCATATTCAGTCACATCGGGAAGAGGACTAAATGACAAAAGAAAACAAGAAATTACTTGAAACGACAAGTTTGTAAATGGGTTAGGTGAGCTGGCATTATAGTAGTAACCATTACTATGATACTAAAACCAGGGCCGGATTTACTCTCTCTGCTGCCCCAATGCCAGGTTTCTCAATCCGCCCTCCTATATGCAGGCTGCATTGTTGTTGTTGTTGTTTAGGTGTATTGATCACCTAGCTCCTAAAAGGTGCCAGCTCAGTTCTAGAGTACAGAAAAGCTTCTGTATTTTAGATGAATTTGTCCACCCTGTTGTACGAGAACTACATATACGGAGTAGGACCACAATGACAACAGCCATTACTACATACTGTCAACTAACATGGGACAATACTAATGTTTCCATATGCATCAATCTGCTTTATGTGCAAAATGTAAACCTGTCATAATATGGGAACAACCATGGCTGACTTCTTTTATAAGATGCTAGTTTACCTGGTTGTCATGCTCAACGTATGGCTTCACTACTTAGTCACTGACCTTGTACAATCATGAGATCAATGAAGTCGGAAGTCTGGGTCACACAATAAGTAGGGAAGCCATAGGATAAGCATGCCTGCCAGGGAAGTAGTAACCTTTCAACAAAGAAATCATGAATTGCTAGCATATGGAGGAATTGAGGGTACATGATATGGCCTGTAGGTTTGTGCAGTCTAAAAAGGTTCATACAGACCTATTTCCTCAGTAACTATTCTTCATGTATGACAAAGTAATGTTGATCCCTTATGTATACTGTATACAGTGAACTCCCTATTATCTGGCACTCTCAAGCAACCAGTAAAAAAAAAAAATCAAGGGTATAATATGTCTTCGATTTTTTTGCTGTTGCTTGATATAAAAAATGGAAACTATAAAATTTTGTAGACTGCGCAGTTGCCAGTAGAAAGAAAACAATGGGTTTCAATAGCCAGCCTGCTATTGGCTATTTCAAACTGCAATACCCAATAGCAGGCTGGCTATTGTGCCCACCCACTGAACAGAAGAACGGACGTGAGAGAGCTTTCTCTCTCAGGTCCGCTCCTCTGCTCAGTGGGCGGGGCTTCAATAGCCAGCCTGCTATTGCCTATTTCAAATTGCAATAGCAGGCTGGCTATTGCTCCTGCCCACTGAGTAGAGGAGCGGACCTGAGAGAGAACTTTTATTGCAGGGTGGTTGTTTGAAAGTTACTATTAAAAGGAGAACTATGACATGAGTGATTTCCACTCACCTCATAGTTCTAAGCCGACCTGTGACAATGAGACTGTCACAGGTCGGCTCAGTAGATCGGGAGGTGAGCGAACACATGCGGGGTTCGCTCACCTCTCGATCCTGTCACGGCTCTCTGCCGTGACAGGGGGAGGGGCTGGATTCCCCTCTCCCCGCTCTGATCTGCCAGCGCTGACTGGCGGAACGGACGGGGGAGGGGGCGGGTACAGCTGGCTCTGCCTCTAGATAGGCAGAGCCAGCTGTCACTCACTCAGCTGGGCGGATCCAGTCATCTAAGTCGGGATCCGCTCCAGGTGTGGCGTCTCAGTATACCGCGAGCTGTAGCTCGCGGTATACTGAGCTTAGGGTAATAGGAGGACGCTAGTTTGTGTCCTCCCGTTACCCCAAGGAGAACTATGGGGAAAAACACTGAGCCCATAGTTCTCCTTTAACTCTCAAGCAACCAGAAACTACAGATATCAGGCACCTAACGATCCCTGTGGGTGGCAGATAACTGGTAGTTTACTGTATTTATTAATAACTGCTCAGCACAACATTTTAGATACAAGCATGTCTAAGAATAATGAAAAAAAAAAAGCTGGCACTTACGCCTCTTTATAGTAGACCGTAAAGCTGATGAGGTCTCTGTAATCAGGGGGTCTGTATCTCTCCCAGGTCAGCATGATCCGATTCTTCTGTGTGCTGTTGGATATGAAGTTCAGTGTGTGACTTTCACCTGGAGGTAACAAGGAGGCGAATTAAAAAATAAAATATCTAAAATATTTTGATTATAAATAAATTATAAATGGATTTTATTTTATCTGTAATAACAACTAACAAAGATTAGTCCAAATGTTCTAACAAAAACCGTATGGTCCACCTTGAGGAACCAGGAGAGCAGAGATTTTACAACTGTATTAAAAGTGTGTATCTGGGCAAAAGTATGAAAAAATACAGCTGACCATGAAAGAAATCCACGGAGCTCCAAACTTGTGGTTTACTCTGCCTCTACTGCACTAAAATCCCAAACAGACCAGTCTAGTTCTGTGGACTACAGAACCCCTGCCCCATACTGATGGACATGAGGAGAAATAGAGGCGTTATGTAATCCAAATTAGGAGTGAGCAGTGTAGGGTTACAACACTGCTCCTTCATAGACATAGTATAGTGGGTGAGTGTTGTCACCATAAAACAGGGAGTGTGTTACTGGAAAACATATTCCACCAATACATCTTAGGACTGATCAGCTGCAAATTATTTTTTGCTTTTGGGCTTATTCCACAGACCCTTTATGAAAACAGTGACAGGGCAAATTACATCTCCTACAGCAGCCCATTTAGAAGAATACAATGTAGTTTATATCAACATGTTTACATTGACAGTACTCGAATCCTAAAAACTGATGTTTGAAAAGTAAAGTACCTTTATCATATAATGGGAAAAAGTAATTTCTTAATGGCCAAGGAATGCAGATCTACTCCTTAATATGCAGTGCATTCATTTACCAGGACACAGGCGTACACTACCTGTTAAGAGGTAGCACACATGCACCTACAGAAACATGTGCATGAAACATGTATATGAATCTACAGTGTCACAGTGATAGTGAAGATGAAAAAAAAATATGTACGACGCCCTGGCTGACCTTTCCTGAAAATGCGTGTCCCTGGCTGACATGTTCATTTAATTACTTTATTGCCTTTAAGTCACTCACCAAGAACAAGTATGCATTATCAGTAGCTATGGCTTTGCTCGCTGCATGCTTTTTCTGCGTCTGTGACTTCTGAAGCCAGAGGCAGGCAGGCAACTAGCATTTCCAGAAAGAGGCAGAGAGATTGCAACAGCTATGTCCCCTCCCCATACAAATTTTTTTTTTTAAAGCCTTCTGATTAAAGTCACTGTATATGGCCTTGTACTCACAAGATGCTCGATCTCCATTATTCCTGGGATTTATGTCCAAATCTGTCTGCCGTCCTCCTGTTCCTGTGGCGTTTTCCATATCGTATATCTCTTTTACGCACAGCTTTGGGTTAAATGCAAAATACATCTTGCCTGTTTTGATGGTGAGGCTGTGTTTCGACCAGTCCCATAGTTGCTGTAGATTGTGGTTGTCCAGAACATAAAAGGCGTAATTCCTGCATAAAACGAACAGTGCACACATACTTTGAATCAACAACGATAGCTCATGCGCTACAACTGAAATTCACACAAGGTAATATGGAGTATTTTCAGCTGACCACAGATTATGACAACACAGGTACTGAGCCAACTTCATATACACTATATGACCAAAAGTATTGGGACACCCCTCCAAATCATTGGGTTCAGGTGTTCCGTGAAATTTCCTTGCTACTAAATATTCCACGGTCACCTGTTAGTGGTATTATAACAAAGTGGAAGCAACTGGGAACAACAGTAACTCAGCCACAAAGTGGTAGGCCACATAAAATGACAGAGCGGGGTCAGCGCATGCTGAAGTGCACAGTTTTGGACATCTCCATAACTGATGTATGAAGGCCAAGTTGTCAGAAGGTAGCTGACATGTTCTCCTCTCTCCAACCATATCTTCTGACCACATTGTGATCAGTAAAGGAGCACGGCTACACAAGAGGACCTATTCTTTAAATAAAGTTTTCAAACTCCTTAAATTAGTCATTGTTCTTCCGCTACAGTGGTCAAAGTAAAGAGCAGGGAAGCAGAGTTTGTCTTGGCTGAGGTACGTGTGAAAGCTTCAAGTTGTGACTAACTAGAGCTTCAAGTTGTGACAACACACACTGCAACCTTTCAAAATCAGGTTGGCCAAAAAGCAACATCTGAAAAACAATCTGACAATGTGAACAGAGGAGACCTTCAACGATCGCAATGAACTCGCCGTTCTCTATCTTATCCCTCAGAAGGAAATACATGTAAGTATGTCTGGGGAAATGAACAGAATGTATAATGGTCACAGATGTTTCATTTGAGAAGGTAAGCTTTTTTTTTTTAGGCAAGTAAATACTGTTTTTGAAAGAAAAAAAAAAGACAAAAAAGGTACAAATGCTGAATTTTCTGCAATGAATTGAGTGCCTATTTTCATGTCTGGAAGATGGGAGGTCTTTTAAAAGACTAGATTATATAGTGAGCAATAACTAGTGCGTGACAACAGCACATAGAAGTAGCACTGTTACCAGTAGGCTTCTCTTTTGCTGCCAGTGTGAACCCTGGTGGATTTGTAGCTTAAAACTGGACTCCAGGCAGATATAAAAGGCCCAAATTAATGTAAGCCTTTTTAGCTTTAGCAGTTTAAAATCCTAAATTGGAACTGGTATTAGCTTCTGGCAGCCCCTGTATTGCAGAGTACAGATTGGGGGAGGGAGAAGCAGCGCAATGAGCCAGTCATGTGTATTGCAATGCCAGTAGCCTGCTAATAGGAGGAGAGAGCAGAGTGACGTGGAGAGAAGTGCTTAAGTATACTGCATCTCCTTTTACCGTGCATTCTCAAGGAGCGATGGGGAGGAAACCTCTGAACATTATTAACTGCAGCAGAAAAAAATCAAGTCCCCTGTATTGCCAGACAGCATTGTACTATGTGGTAGAGCTGTGTAAATATCAACAGAGGTTAGACAAAAAATACCAATCCTTTGGAAGGTAAAACCGCTCCTTATATACGTTTAGCCTTTTGCCTGAAGTTCAGCTTTAAAGTACAGCTCATGTATGGCAGTCTAGACAAGTTCCAAATCCAGTTACCTTTATGGAAAGGAAAAAAAAAAAAAGTGCATCTCACACACTTCCCCTCCTTGGCACTGCAGCTCACAGTGGGAGGGTTACAGCAGCACAGTCAATTCTGCCAAACTAGAAAGCATGATGTGGCCAGGTGCTGACTAACAAGTTACAGGCTTGTGAATCAATGGTGACAATGCTGACGACCATGTCTCCCCACACCATCTTCTCATCCCACTGCAGTGTACTGCAGGCACAACTACATGAAAGTGGCAACTCTGCTCTGAAATCAGGAGCAGTGCAGCATCATGGCCACACCATCACCAGAAGCTGCATTCAGGGGACTTCCCCGGAAGGTTCAACAGGCATTTGTAGGACTTTGCAGAGGGACCCAGAGAAACGGTAAGTGCACATGAACTTATAATGAAGTGCTGCAGCACATTTTGTTTTAGTAATAGAGGGCCATGAATCTACTTTAATTTTAGAGTGCATTGACAGAGGCTTGAAAAAAAAAAAAAAAACACATTAAGGGTTCATGCACACAGGCATTTGTTTGCATTAAAACTGCTTTTCTTACCAACATAAGTCAATGGGACGGCAAAAGCAAGTGAAGAAATGTCTTCATCTTATAAGCAGAGCACCAGCTAATGAAAGCACACCTAAAGCACCTGAAAACATACATTTTACTGTCTTTGGAGTCTGATGCCCACACACGTGAGACCTAAAAGAACCACTTACAAAGCGAATTTGGCGTTTAGGGTTTTCTTTTAGGGGACCCCAGAAGTGTGGAGGATCAGCTGGTGAAGGATGTAGAATGAAAAGAATTTATGACACATTACATAGTGCAGCCTGAGAAAAGAAGTAAAAAGGAGTAGACGCTGCCAGGAATTCATCGTGCTGGAAACTTTAACCAGGCAGGTCATATAAACTAACAGAGGCAAAGCTTTCCCAGGACCTCCAAAAAACTGTGCTTCCCCTTGCACAGGAGCCCCCGTTTCCCATAGCCAGCTATCCAGGGAAGAGAACAGGTTTCTCCTCTGTGTTGGAGTGAAATGATAAACCAGGAAACTAGTGGAATGTGTCCAAACATTGGCATTCCAGGCCTCACAAAATTACGCAGAGATTTACCCTTTCTATGCCTGGGACAAACATGTCGATGTGCACAGACGTTACATCTCCAACAACAGGAAAAGTAAAAGAAAGCATTAAACGAATTATACTTTTTATACATTACACAATTTTTATTTTTTAGATGTGCAGTTTCTAGGTAATCGTGCAGCATGGCAATTATGTTACTCATGCACATACGTTAAAGAGAACCAGATGCTATTAGGCTTATGCAAGTATCTGAATATCCAGCCTTACCTTATATAACTGGGCAGGCTAACCCATAAATTTAGCACATTTGCCCCATTGTTTTACAGAACCCGACTCTCGGCCCTTGGAGTTGGACCTGTGTGAGCCCCCCTGAGGTCTGATAGTGGCTGCACACAGTTGCTTACAGCATGCACTGTCTTTCCATTCCAAAGTCTGCATAGCAGTATAAAATAACAAGACTGTTGGATTAAATTATTGTTTAATACAGGGCTTTTATTCCATACTGCAATACACAGACAGAAGCACATAGAGCACATGTTATTAGACTGAATTCAGGCAATATAACAACAGTCTGACCTCAGAAGAACTCTCGCCTCTTAGGACCAAGAGTTGAGCTAAATAAAAATAATTGACGTGATATTAAACTTAAATTTTTTAGCAATATCTACTGTTCTTCTTTGAAAGTTCTCCTTTCCTCTAGATCCAGCTAGTCCCCTGAATGCTGCCCAGCTTTTCAGTTTAAGTGTGGCTCTTCTGCCTTGCAAGGTCCTATGGATCTTGTCTGAAGCCACCCTTTTGTGTGTGCTCCTGGGAGAACACTACAGGGCAACTTGGCACAGGCAGCATTATCGTCATCACATAGAGAAAACATTTCAAAATGATGGGGCACACATGTGGTGGCTCTCTGCATTATGGGGCATGAAGTCCCGATAAATGGTGTTATGAGTGCACGTTCCCGGACAGTTAATTGGGGGGAAACAGCGCACAGGAGGATGGGGTGAAAAACTATTTAATAGCCCCTTTCCTCTTTCTTTTCTTCTTCCTCTTCTTATTTGTTGTTGTTCTTTGCTTTATGGGGTAACGATTTGTCATTATACCAATTATATGCCTACCCAGTTTTTGTGCGTTGTGTTCTCATCATAATTTACTATCGCAATCTGAGTTGTATGCTACAATGTGTGTTTTTGCATTACTTGAAATACATTTCCATAAAGAAATTTTGTAAACGAAAAGAAAAACAATAGTGATGTGTTGGTGTTAAAAGCTAAAAAGGCAGCAAATATATGCCATTCGTAGGTAATTCCATCCAAACAATTAATTTGGACATTTAGGGTTCTGTTTATTACAGTAATATGCATGATAAAAAACAAACAGGCACAATGGTGCAACAAACTGTTCACCATCTGCCTGTCTAATGGCTTCTGACACAAAGTTTTTGGTAAAAGATTGGCTGTAGACTAACCCATCAGTAAGGTTCTCTCCATTGATGTAACGCAGACTTTTCAGGAAAGACAGGGAAACCAGAGCATGAGAGTGGCGGATTTTCACATAGCCAGTCACCGTCTCTATGAGACCCATAAAGTTCTCCAGCTCTGCAGCAATGTTTTCTGCAACAAGACAAGAAAAGGGTGAGACAACAACATTCTAATTACACCCCAAAACACATTTACTTCACCCAACATTCTGACATTGGTCCATCTGATTACAATTCTTGAGTCAACATTTAATCGTCTGTCCAGATTGGTTGATCAGGGTTTGACATGTATGTCTAAAGAATAATTAAAGACTATACAAGGGAAGTCATTCACATACATTTTCTGTCAACGTAGAGAAAAACCTGCATGTAACACCAAATATATTAATATCTATTTACCATCAAGGTGCAAAAAAGAGCAGTGAGGACATACAAAGTGCACTAACCTATGGCAACCAGTCAAACTTCAGTTTACTAATGTCTGATCCAAAAACAGAAATTCTATTTGGTTGCTATTGGTTACTGAAGTTCACACAGTACTCTTTACATAATGTTTTCACCGGTGGATCAGTTTTATTGTAAGTTCTTTGTTATAGGTTTGTATCAAAGAAACCCAAAAGCTTTTATGTATATGCGTGGAAAATAGAAAGGCCTAGTACTTTGTCCAGTTGTGATTGCCCTGTGAATACTGTTGCCATAATAAAGAGTATCGGCAGATGTTTTATATTTGTTTGAAATTAGAAATAGTCTGTAAAACAAAGAGCGCCTTGTTCCTGCACCTTTATCACACCTCATTTAACCGCTTACCTTTTGGCTGAATGATACAGCCTTGGTTGTTTGGCAGTGAGCTCACTGCTGAGTTGCAGGGGTTAGTGTAGAGTCTGCAGCTAGATTTGGACAAAGTTACAGATGGAGTATATCACAGCCGTGTGATTCTGGAGGAAGCTTTAATAATTCATGCGGCCCTAGACTGCAACTGCTGGCGCAGCTTGTGCCAAAAGAGAGGCTGCTGAAAGCTCAGGACCTGTTACTGGCATCCACGTGGAGTATTCTTGGAAACGCGGGCAGATCCATAGAGGACTTATGAATGGGAGTTTAACAGCATCCTTTCCCAATGCTGTACCTGTCACTGAGTCAGAGGCTGGCGGGGGTTTAATCACACGCACATTTTGCTGCATTTTTTACCCAATATTCTAATTTTAAAGCACCAAATCAGTGCCCAAAGCAAGAACTAGCCTTCTTGGAGAGGTTTCACTTTTTTATACTAATGAACTGAACATAGTAAGGATGACATTTCTTTACATTAATTCTGTGGCTTTTATTTCTTCTTGAAGCATCAGGAAACCTAAAACGCATAGCTTAAGGGCTACTAAAACCGTGTACCAATATATGTCGGTTTCCCCATGCATATCATTTTTCCTCTGAAACACAATACGGTCTGTATTTATTATTTCATTCATCTTATGCCAATGGCCATTTTGGACTAAATTAGACTTAGCAGAAGTTGCCATCTGTGTCACACCCTCTGGAGTCTCTGGGGTTTTTCTCAATCAGAATTACAGGCATCCCCGCAATATTGAACAGCAAAAGAGCCACTGTTAAAGCTTCAAGTAGCGAACCAAATAGCAGAAAAACTACATTTGCTATGTATAATATATTTTTTTAATATAAGGGGTAGATGCACCGATATATCGGCTGGCGAAACATAATCGGCCAAAAATCGCACTTTTGCCAAATGCCGAAAGTGCCATTTTTCATGGCGATATAGCAGTGCATCCATTCTTTCTTTTCTCCCCGCAGAGCGCTGCTCTGTGTCCCATCGGTGAGGAAAGAAACTGTCACAGGCGGCCGAGCGATGTGGGAGGAGAGCGCTGTGAGCGGCCGGTATCTCACCTCCCTGCACCGCTCAGCCTCCTTTCACAGATGAGGAGAGAGGCTGTGTGGGCGAAAACAGCCAGCGTTGTCAGAGGAGGCCGGACGTTAGTGCGGAGTCAGCTGTCAGATCGAGCTCTCCTCCCGCATCGCTCGCTCAGCCTCCTGTGACAGCTGTCAGGATGGAGAGTGGGTACAAACACTCAGTGATCACTGAGTGTTTGTACATAATTGAGGACATAGTATGTTTTCTGTACCCTCAATTATGAATGAATGGGAAGTGATCTACATCACCTCCTGTTCATTCACGATTGTGGTTATAGTAAACATGTATCCTCATGTTATGAATAAATAGGAAAACTCAGTATAGAGGCTTCCTGTTCATTTATAACAGGGGCTGCAGAAAAAGAGATTGAGGACTCTGTGTCCTCAATCTCTTTTTCTATTTTCAAAGGGAAATATCCGGGGTCTGTTTAGACCCCCAATATTTCCCGGAAGCACCTAAAAGTAAAGTAAAGAAAATAAAATGTTTTAAGAAAAATACAAATAAAATGTAAAGAAATGTAAAAGTTTATAAAAAATGAATAAAAATCGATTTTTTTTTAAAATGTGAAAAAGTTAGAAAAAAACATTTTCCGTTTTTGTCCGACATTTTTTTTCATTTCGGTGCACCTCTAATAAGGGGCATGCGTATTAGCAGATTACAAAAGCAAAATCTGCTTGCTCCTTCTCACAATTCTGTAGGTGAGGACTTACGTAGAGGTCTGGGTGAATATCAGAAGGTATCCTATGGTCCTGTAGCTAAGTGTTAGCTCACTATCCACCCCACGTTTGCACTAAAAAGAAGCTGTATGTTTTAAAAACATCGGCATTCAGCAAAAAAAAAAAAAAATTTTTTTTTTTTGTGGCGGCTGTTTGATGCACACTAAAAAAATTCCAGTTGCTTGGTACACACTAAAAAATTGTGTAGCAACTAAATTTATTTGTTTACATCTTGCTGCCGGCCGGTGGCTAGATTCCGCAGTCGGCAGCAGAATGTAATTAATGGGGAGCAATAGCCAGCCTGCTATTAGCTTTTTCAAATGCACCTGCCCACTAAGCAGAGAGGTGGATCTAAGAGAGAACCTTCTCTCTAAGGTACACTCCTCTGCTCAGTGGGCGGGTGCAATAGCCAGACTGCTATTGGCTATTGATATTTGAAATAGCCAATAGCAGTCTGACTATTGATCCCAGCTGTTTACATTCACCTGCCGGCAGCAGAATCTAGCTGGCAGGTGAATGGGGCCGTGGGGGAGTGAAGGGCCACCATGGTGGGTGAGTGGTTGCCTGAGCGTTACTATTAACTCTTAAGCAACCAGAAACTGCAGTTATGAAGAATCTTCCGATCTCCATGGGTGCTGGATAACTGGGAGTTTAGAGTATCTCCCTTCAAGTTTATAACCCATTCCTGGGTAGGCTTTGGCAGCATGGCAGAACTTCAGTATGCCAATATTTCTTGGTCAATGCTGCATGTCACAACACTTTTTATTGGTAGGTTCCACCAACCTGAGTCTAGGTGGAGTGAGCCATGGTGTACCCGGCTGGAATAATCTTGGGTTTAGCACAATGGCTATTAAGAATGCTTAAAATATGCTCTTCATACGAATTAATCACACATGTGAAAGAGCACCTCGACTTCTGTTACGCAAAGGCAAAAGAAGCATAAGAATCAGATCTGATCATGAATTGTATGAAAAGAAATGAACCAATCTAATGAGAAAACCATGATGGGTGGACATAAGGAAACCACAATTGCAGGATATTGGAGTAGAATTGTAAATGAGAGTTATGTCTGTCCAGGGCCTGGAAAATTATTCACCACTTGTTATTAGATCACATCACCACACTGCTGGGACCCACTGATCTTCTCGCCAATGCTTCCAATGGTCCTAAGTGCTTTTAACTGCCTCCTAAGGAAGCTGTACACAGACTATATATTGTCTATCACAAGCCATACTCTGGGTGCATTGTTCACAAACAATATCCCGAGTCTACTTTGTGTTTTGCTACTTACGGCCTTTGCGGATGTTAAGCAACAGGTTTCCTTGCAGCACTGTACATCCTTCCAGCATCTGCGCTGAGGTGACAGAGTCAATGGTCTTCTCCTCGATGCAGACTTTAGGACAATGGCCCTCACAAGGAATGCAGAACATACTGCAAGATAGAGGCAAAACAATGAACCATGAATTCACAAAAATATGAACTTTACATCCCATAAAAGAGAAAAGAAGAAACACATAGTGGAAGAAAAAAAGGAGAAGTGGATAGAAAAGGACAGAGACATTTATGGACAAATGGATACTTCCCCCTAAAACACCTGCAAATGTTTTTCACTGAATTACCGCACTTCAGTGGCCATTATTTATCCATTATACCTGGTATTATTCTGAAAAATCCTGTCAAAGCGAGCTCTTTTTTTTAGGAAACTCAATCTCAAAGCAATACTGTGGCCTGTAAAAGCCAGAGAAACCAAGTCCTTCCAGGTGTCTGTCTGCATTCTCAGTTTATTATGCAAATACTGACAACAGCTTGTGTCATGGCCCATCTCTTCTCTCCACCCCATACCACCCTGTTGGCCAGTTAGGTCACTTTACACATTTTATGGCCAACAGGTGGGTTTAGGGGGTAGGCCAAAGTAGGAACATGCATGTTCCAGAAATGATGCAAGTAGGCACCTCGAGGGAGCCAGTGTCACAGTCTACAAGCAAGCATTAACTCTGTAGGTAGTAAACTAAATCAGGACCAGAAAGCAAACATGGTAAGTAGGAATGTATTATTTAGGTTCTGCTGACCAGAAGTTGCACTGGGCAAAATTAATCAGATGTATACACTACAGCCACGTAGGCATTCCAAATTTGCGTAAATGAAATAGAAACTTTTGTCGAAGGGTCATCACACAGAAACAGACAAGGTTACCTTTGATTTTCATTCACTCTGTATCCTGATGGACATTCGTCCACACACTCCCCTTTGTGGAGGATAAACCGGTTTGGTGCATTATATATCGTGTGCATGTTGGCACATTCTTCCAAAGTGATGCAACGCCATCCCTGAAAGCTGTAGGTGTTCTCAGGACAGCTTGGGACACATCTGCGTTCGTGGTAGAAGTGTTGACAAGCCACACAGGCGCTATCGTTGTGTGTAGCAGTACAGCTTCCCAGGCATTCCGGATGGCAACAGTCGCCCTCGTCTGTACAGGCAAGTCTCCCACACTCGCTTGGGCACACTGCGGAGACAAAAATGAAAAAGAATCTATAAGAGACAGAACTACCCCATTCAGTTTTAAAAGAGTCTAAAGCATATAACCATTGGGATTATTCAGCTCAAGATTTTACCACAAAAATGTTCTTGTTAAATTGCATCTAGTGCAGGGAAATGTTTATACCAGATACAGTATTAGATTTGTATCTCTGTACAGTTTTCCAGCAAATCCAGAGTGTTGTGGTTTCGCTCTTACTCTGCTCTCCTTCCTATTATCACACTTATGTGCCCTAGTGGTTTGGGCCACACATAAAATGACATCATGCTCTATCCCCTGTGAAGTTCTATTTCCCTTGTTAATAGGCTGCATTCCCAACATATTGCATCATGAGATTTAAAGCCCAACACCAATCAAAACCTTGTTTTCCAGATAGAGAAGATAAGAGTTAGAACCTCTGTCATGTTTTTTTTTCTCTTTTGTGGTGAACCCAACCTTGTGTGTCCTGATATCAGAGGCATAAAAATATGCAGACCATATGAGGGGAAATCTCAGCAATAAATATTGTCAGAAGTTCTAACCCTTTCCCACTGTACTAAAAAGAAAATGATTTGGCTGAGCTTTATAGGAGAATTGTACTGACCGAAATATTTCCACTGCTGACCTCCTGCAAATGCTAGTTGCCTAGTTATCAGGTAAGCCCTTTAACTACTCAAATCTAAGGAAATTGTACAGGTGAAACTCAAATAATTATAATATCGTGCAAAAGTAATTGCAGTAAGTGCTGCAAAAGGGGCCCAAACCAAGTACTGAGTACATATGCATGCTTGTACTTTTCAGAGGTCCGATATTGTTCTATGTACAATCCTTGTTTTATTGATTGCATGTAATAATCTACTTTTTTGAGGTTGTGGATTTGGGGTTCTTGGGGTTTTCATGAGCTGTAAGCCATAATCATCACAATTATGACAAATCACGGCTTGAATTATCTTGCTTTGCATGTAATGAGTCTATCTCATATATTAGTTTCACCTTTTAAGTTGCATTAGTGAAATAAATGAACTTTGCACGATATTCTAATTATTCGAGTTTCACCTGTATAACAAATTCAGCTTGTGGCCTCCTGAACACTGACTTTTAGCATTATCACACGTATCAAAGCAGTGTTTCTCACACACACACACGGACAACTACATGTGATGTTGGAGTTTTGGTGCCTGAAGCCCAAACATGCGTTGGAGCTTGAACCGCAGCCCCCATTTACCTTTGTGGTGAATCAAGGCTGTAATGTGGTTTGGAGGAAAAGCTGCATGAATGCCTTTTGTCTTACATACTCCAAACACCACTATCATTTCACAGTGAAAGCCACAACTATATATTAGCTCATCTGAAGAATGCAGACTGCAACAATGTTTTGTACAACCTCTACAGATATCATGTATGAGTTAAAGCATCCATAGTTGTTAAATGATCTTCATCCGATTTGCCCAATCAGGTAATAAACATACAGTCTAAGTTAGCAGATAAAGTTGTGATGAATTTTAAAGTTGTGGAAGTTGTAATGAATTTTACTGACTCGTCTCTACTGTTACCCCAAGAATACAAGTGCCACAGTATCTGCTCAGCACATACATGTGGTAAGAACTTGCATTCACTACCCAAGTGCCACCTAATGTCTATGGTCATCAACCCCCACCACCCCAAAGCAAAAAAAGATATCTAAATAATGGTAGACGATCCCTGGATGCACGATCAATGAGTCCAGGGAGAGTAATTGATTCCTAACCGCATGTGATCATACATCATATGATTACATGTGGTGTGCCAGCATTCAAATGCATTGGCTGACACCCGATCATTAACTTGAATGGATGATAGCGGCCGTTTGTAAATGGCAGATTTGGGATCCCTGTTGCAGGAAATTTCAAGTTCCTGACACAGGAATCTCTAACCGCACCAAAAATATAGGTGTGAATGGAGCCTAAATTAGTATAAACAAGCACACACAACCTCTAGATATTAGGTGATTGCTATCTGTCTGCTGAGTCTTCTTGCGCGCACCCCCAGAGCCGTAACACTAACCAGTACCGATCTATGAAGAATTTTAGAAAAACTCAGTCGGCAGTGAAAGAATGTCTATGGTCAGCTTCGGTATTTTCTTTATTCTTCATTGTGTAAGTACATTTCAGCAGAATAAATTAAACCAAGCAGCCAGGGTTTAAAGCAAAATCCGCTGTGGAACACATGGTATGAATGACCCCAAAGTGTGTTCCACTTCCCTTATGCAAGCATAATTATACATAATGAAGGACAGATGAGGGAACGTCACAACGAGAAGTATTACAGGGCCAAAAATCATGGCTACCTACCTCCCTGAAAAAGTGTAAAACCGAGGAGCGGGATGCAAGTACCCAGCCACCTCAATATACAATGTAGGCAACAGAAGGTCTGCAATGTGAAGAGAGCCTGTCACAACAGAAATACAGGAGCTGACTCTGCTGACCTGTTTTTTGAAGATGAAAACCCAGGAGCTGACAAGCTCCTTGCTTCATTACCAAAATCAGACCTAAAATTAAAAATGAAATTAACTTTAGATCCTCTTGGAGCCAACATTAGAAAAAAAAGCAGTCCAACTCCCCAATGTACTCTCTCCCAGTATGATATCAAACCAGCTTGTTTCCCTCAGACATACTGTGAAGGGATGGCAGATTCTTCCACTGTTTAGGAACCAGTCTATATAATATGGAAGAGAGCGGTCACTTTTAGGTAGCAAGAAAACCTAAAACAGATTTTTTTTTACAAATGACAAAAAAACACTGACCCTGCATGCAGATGATAAAGGTTTCTAAAAAAAAATTGGTCTGAACGAGGGTGCCAATACTCCAATGCTGATACAATATGGGAACACTGACGGGGGAATTGATCAAAGCTGGAGCAAACAGAATCTGGAGCAGTTGCCTGTGGCAACCAATCAGCATCTCTTCTTAGTTTGCCCAGGTAAAATGTGAAAATGAAAGAAAAGCTGATTGGCTGCAGCGCAAATCTGCTCCAGATTTGGTCTGCTCCAGTTTTAATAAATTCCCCCATAGGAGTTCTTACAAACCATTTCTTCGCACTATACATTTTTTTTTTTTTTTAAGCATGTCGTTTTTTATTGAGTTTTTAGTGCAGATACATATGAAAAAGACATCCTAGTAACCCGGTTCACTCACAGTATAGTAGAGATCAGGTGTTATACACGGTTACCGATTTATGCAGGTCAACAAAGAAGATAAAACAACTATGACATTATCAAAAAGTCATTATAGCTCGAACTATACATTTTAACAGGCCATGGAATTGTCAACAATTGACTTCGTCGGTGATGGTCAACAAGGGCCTGAATTCAAATCAGTCTTGGAATATGGCAAGTTGGCACCTTAAAATAGAACAATCAGACCCTCTGATGTTTTTTCTGGATCATTCAAATCCACTATTAAGTATATATCGGGTTATCACAGTTACTACCTATGAAGCATGAGGGGGCTGTCTTGAGTTATCTATTGGTCACTGTTATAGCAGCAGATGATAATTCAATTTGGAGAAGATATTAAATCTGCTAAATCCTTTACAATGCTGGTCATAAGAGGTCCAGCAACGTAATTGTTTGTTGCATTACAGAATGATACTGTTGCAAGACGGAGGTGAAATTAAAGTATGGCGCGCATGCCCCCCTGAAGTAGACACACAGACAGGATATTTATTGCAGTAAGTGCACATAGCTTGTAGCTAATAGCGATAATCCTCAGACACAAGTAGATGGAAATGCAGAGTTTCTGCAGGCTGAAATCATTTACAGAACGCACTGCCAAGTGTACAAACAGCCCAAACAGAGATAATCAGCCAGTAAGGGAAGGCTCCTGGCATGTCTGTTTGCTATTCTCCAAAAACCATGGCCCACAGCCCAACGGGCAAACCTGTAAGCTGCCAGGAGTAGGAGGAATCCCTTTAAAGAGAAAAAAAACACTCCTCTTGTAAAATTTCACATAATCCTTCCTACTCAACAGGCAGCAGACCGGTGAAAGGCAAAGAATTGCCACAAGCACAAGCTATGCAACTGGCCATTTCTGCTGTGGATGCTCCTGCTCTATTCGAGGTCAGGGTTATGGCTTGTATACACATAGAAAGATTTCTAAATCCGTCTTTATTCAAAGAGCACAATTTTTAAGCATGTCAGATATTTTTCAACCAAGAGGCAGAACTAATCAAGTGCCTATCCCTTGTAAAACTGTTACTTATTCAGAAGTTTGGTCAGTTTTCCTGTTTTAATGACACCACCCCTTTCCCCATGTAGCATTTGGGAAGCCCACCTACATATTTATAATTGCAACTACAGCACTAATTCGCCAAAATCACAACAAACATCTTGTCAGAGGCATGGTTTATATTGGGGTGAACTGTAGTGGGCAGCACAGTGGCTTAGTGGTTGGCGCTTCTGCCTTGCAGCACTGAGGGGTCCCCAGTCCGTATCCTGGCCAAGACACCATCTGCAAGGAGTTTGAATGTTCTCCCTGTGTTTGTGTGTGGGTTTCCTCCAGGTACTCCAGTTTCCCCCCACACTCCAAAGGTGGTTAATTGGCTCCAATCTAAAATCAAACCTGTGTGCATCATAGGGGACCTTCGATTGTAAGCTCGTTGATGGCAGGGACTGATGCGAATATGCAATATGTAAAGTGCTGTGTAAATGATCAGCGCTGTATAGATGGCAATAATAAATAAAATAAATAGTAGGGCAGCTCACAGAAGATACAAGGTCATCAGGATTGCACACAACCTCTGAATACAGCAAAAGGTGTATGCTGAACAAAATAGTTTTTGAGGAGGAAAAACAATCTGATCAATTAATCAACCACTGGGTCCTGATCAGCGTAATGTTTGTTACTTGTTCAATTCTTAAAGATATATCTTAGGGCAGGGGTGCCCACAAGGTCGATCGCGATCTACCAGTCGATCCCGTAGCGATCACTGGTAGATCACCATGTCCTCTC